TGAGCTACCCAGGTACCCCTAGGGAAAGCTTTTTAAAGAAAGAAAGAAAGAAAGAAAGAAAGAAAGAAAGAAAGAAAGGAAGGAAGGAAGGAAGGAAGGGAGGAAGGAAGGAAGGAAGGAAGGAAGGAAGGGAGAGAGAGAGAAAGAGAGAGAGAGAAAGAAAGAAAAAAAGAAAGGAAGGAAGGAAAAAGGAAGGAAGGAAATGAAATCAGTTCTCCAGTAGTGTGTGTAAGGCAGCAGAAGCATGGTCTGATGAGGATTAGCACGAGTCATGTGAGTTGATTAAAGCTGAGAAAAGTAACATCAGTGAACAGATTTATAGGTAGATGCCTTAATTTCTTTGAATCCCAGCTTCTTCACTAGTAAAACTAAGATAATAACAATAGAAATATTGTTATTTTTAAAGATATTCAGGTAGCAAATGAAAAGGTCTTCTAAATCATGTTTACTGAGTTCCTACTGTAAGCTCTATAACATGAAATATTAAAAAAATCAGTGTCTCTCATGATATTCCATGCCTACCCACATTTCCATGGTTTACGTTGATAGTGTAACTTGTTGGTACATTTAATTTTGATTATAATCTTCCTCTGTATTGTGCTGTTTTCCCAGTGTTGAGTCCAATACTGTGATGGTGTATGGAATTATGAATGAATTAGCAGACAAGGCAGTGAAAATTTTTTAAGATTGATATATTCTTTTCTTTTTTTTACAAATAGTTTGTTGTCAAATTGGTTTCCATATAACACCCAGTGCTCATCCCCACAAGTGCCCTCCTCCATGCCCATCTCCCCCCTCCCCCCAACACCCATCAGTCCTCAGTTTGTTCTCAGCATTCAAGAGTCTCTCATGGTTTGTCTCCCTCCCTCTCCCCCATTTCCGCCCTTCTTCTCCCCCATGGTCCTCCGTCAAGTTCCTCCTAATCCTCCTATACGTGCAAACATATGATATTTGTCCTTCTCTGCCTGACTTATTTCGCTCAGCATAACACCCTCAAGGTCCATCCATGTTGCTACACATGGCCAGATTTCATTCTTTCTCACTGCCATGTAGTATTCCACGGTATAGATAAACCACATAAGATTGATATATTCTTAGTGGAGAAGCAGAATAAAGTTTAATATATAACACAAGTATCATTAGTTGGAGAAGTTACTGACTCAATTTGAAAACACATCGATCATATATAACTGGAATACATGTATTACTATGAACCAAAAGAACATTAGTCCTGCCTATGTGATTCCTAACCCATTCCTATGTGATTCCACATAACTAATCTCTCATGGGGAATTTTCACAGGGAGGATTTCTATGCAGGGAGGAGACCCTGCTTTCCATATGGTATGACGGCTTTTAACACAGGAATCTGACTAGTGGTTCTGGATCCCAGGTAAGTAGGTAAGGAAGGAAGGAAGGAAGGAAGGGAGGGAGGGAGGGAGGGAAGGAAAAACACAATAACAGAACCAAAGAAACAAAAAATTGACTTCTTCACCTAATAGCCATTTGTTGGTTTAATCTTCTAATGATTAGCTAGCTTTAAACTGAAGTCCCTTGTGAGTGTTTAAAGACTTATTATACCAATCAAAAATAAGTAATATAAATTAATTATGATTTAGACAAATCCTCTTTTTTAATTTAGGTGATGTATTACTAAAATTTAACTACTCCCAAAAATTTAAAAAGGAAAGGATATCTATGAAGGTCAAAACGATGCCTTAATTTTTAAAATTCTATGTATTATATAAATATTTATGAAAAATAATTAAGTTGGATGTAAACATAAATCGGTTTTTAAAAGTCTTGAAAAGCAGGCATGAAAAATGACAAAGGGGATTAAAACATCCAAGAAGATTCAGAAACACTCAGAAGAGCATTGAGTTTTAGGAGATTTGGTCACTAGTGAAGTGGTTTTAGGCAAACTGGATTGAAATAAATAAACCGAGGTCTACCCAAACCAACAAGAGTGTCATGTCCTACCACAGGTGAAAGGTTTTCCAGGTTTGTCGGCCTGACTCCAAACCTGGCTCATGGGTGTCTGAATTGTGTGAGTGGCAGGACGAAGTTGAAATTAATGATCCTCTGAGAACACACCACACCATGTCTGGGCTGAACTTCTTGTAAACATAGTTTGGTACTTGGGTCTTCCTAAAAGAAAGGGTTTTCTGTCTCTACTTGGGGTCCTTTTCGAAGCAGTTTATTAACAGCACATAAAAGGTGGAAAAATAGAACTTATAATATGTCAAGTTCTGTTGAAACCACAGAATTTTGGTGATCTTAGTGGATGTAGCCTGATGCTGACGAGTGAAGAGGACAAGTCACGCCCAGGAACTCCACTGCTGGGGTGGGAATGTTACCGGGGGTTAGCTTAAAAATGGCGATGACTGAGTTCCATGCAGATTGAGGATTTCCACATGGAAGTCTGAACGCGGTATTAGAATATCACCCAAATATAATACACGCTAACTATAATATTCCGCAGGGCAGGCATTCGTCAAATAAACCATTGATTAACTAATGAGACACAGCATTGCACATGGCTTACAGCCTTCTTGAAATTTGAACTGGTTTAGACACACACCAGAGAAGTTTAGACGCACACTAGGTAACCCCGAGGTCCAGCCTTTTGCGGACACAGGATTCTCAAACACAGGTAAACCAGCCTGCATTATTAACTACACTGCATCCAAGGGAGACCTCGTGGGCCAGGGGCTCCTGTTCTTTTACTTATGATACTATGTCAATTACAAAATAACAGTTGTGGTGCAAGGCCCAGAGTTTCTAGCTTCCTAATTGGAAAAATCTCTTTGGTGTGTCATATGTTTGGACAACGTCTACAGTAAGGGGTGGAATGAAGCTGCAATCCCAGTTGGCCAGAAATAGATGCTGGAGAAGTACTCTGTCAGAAAGCAGAGTAAGTAGGACAGTCCTCGCTTTGCACAGCATTGTGTTCAAGGATACTTGTGCATGCCGAATGTTTCAGTGTTTCGTATCATTCTGCTATACAAAGCTAAGAGATGGTTCCAGCATTTATAGGTTCCCATTAACATGATACTATGCAAATCAAGCACTACTATTAGTTCCTGCAGAACATACTGGGTGAAGGTAGGTGGCAATAAAGTTTATTCTTCAAACTAAAATCGTTTTGAGAGTGAAAGGGGGACTTATTATTATTATCCCACTGGGACAACAGGCATAATTCAGGACCGCCTGAAACAAAAATATGGTCACTGTGATCTTAGGTTTACAAACCAGGCTAGATCAAGGACAGATGGGAAAGAAGAGGTGACTGACAACATCAGTGGTGCCAAGAGCTCTGTCGGACACAAGGTGAGGTCTTGAGATGATTATTTAGTCAGAGTGTTAGCCTGTCACATTGCTATTTCTTTGACATCTATCATACTGTAGCTCCAAAGGTCTTGACTTGGCCTGTCATATTGGCATCTTAACATGCTCAGGATTGGTGAGAGTTTTAGGGTTAATGGAGGTCAGGCCTGAGCTTGACCATTTTCCCCACTACTGGTAGGATATTGTATTTACCAGTGACAGGTGTGATGCAGAATGGATTTGCATTTCCAGTAGCACATAGTTTGACTAATCAGCATGTTTGGAAATATAATAGACAATAAATATGCAGAAAATGAAATACTAGGTGTTGTCATACAACTTCCATGACAAATAATCTACAATAATATCTGTGACAGAACACAGAAAATATCATAGTCAATTTCATTGTTCACCAACTCTAGCTGTTAAATATTCTTTCTTTTTAAAATTAAAAGAAATTTACCCTTTAGAGAGAAAAGGCATGAATGGGGGAGAGCAGCAGCAGCAGTGAGAGAGAGAGAGAGAGACAGAGAGACAGAGAGACAGAGAGACAGAGAGAGAGAGAGAGAGAGAGAGAGAGAGAATCTTAAGCAGGCTCCATGCCCAGTGCGGGGCCCAATGTGGGGCTCCATCCCACAACCCTGGAATCATGAGCAGAGCCATAACTGAGTTGGATACTCACCCGACTGTGCCTCCCAGGGGCCTCTAACTATTCTTTCTTAGATTATGTTGATCTAAAGTCTGTCTTTCTGTCCTTCCTACCCTTTTCTGTCATCTGAATTAATAAAGAGCAAATTTCTTTCCTTTCTTGGTGCTCTTACCTTACCTCTTGGACACTTAGGTTAAAAAAAATCCCCATAACTTCAAGTATTCATTACATGATTTGTTCCTTGCTACTTACGAGAAAAGTATATTGGAAGTATCTTGGGAAGATGTGTAAAATTCTCTTGCTTTGTGTCAGCATTAACAGATAAGTCATAGTATTTGTTTTCTATATGATATAGAGCATTAACATCTTGATTCATGAGCTGTACTTATTACTGATGATAAATTTCAGTGCCCTTTTCTGTTAGCTATTATCTTTGCTTTGTCTCATTTATCACTTTTTAATCTACTTTGTGAACAGTCAGATCTGTCACTAGAATTTCAAGAAACCATTAAATAAAAATGTTTTCTAAGAAAATATAGTAGCTCTGCCATTGTAGAGCCATTTCGTGTTAAAACGTTAGTTTACAATATCTGTGCACCATCACCTGCCTCTAATTCAGCCCGGCTGCAGTGTTGCTTAGCTAAGTTTCCGTGGAGATCCTGATTCTTTTCATCAGTCGTTACTTCCACAGGTTTTTTAAAGACTATGTCCTATATATGCGTACTTGGCATATATGTTGCCAAGTTTTTGGCAAGTAAATACAGTTGTTTAAGTCTGGATAACTTAATGTGTGTGTGTGTGTGTGTGTGTGTGTGTGTGTGCGTGCGCGTGTGTAAGCTGCAAACCTCTCACATGCTGATGAGGGGGCTAATGAATAACTTAGGTTTGCTAGGCAATAGTAGAGGGGATAGGACATTTATAAAGTGTCTCCGTGGTTGAGAAGCATTTATGTCGACTTTATTTTATGTGGTCCCAACAAAAATGTGGAAGTTGTTAAAGAAAGAAAACTCACTAAACTATGCTATGAAGATGGTTTCCAGAATAGACCGCTAATTTTTGAAATGCAAAGTGATGTGCCAAAAGGGAGAAAATCAGTCCAGTGTCCTGGGCAGACTGGGGAAGGGTCTGCTCGGTAAACACACAGGGAGGCCACGTCCCCCTGACGGACTTTCTGTGGAATCAGTTGCTTTGTGATTTGTGCTCTTTGTGGGTTATTCTCTCCTTCCGGTTTTGAGGCAACACATTTTCTGTAAATATCATCTAGGGGTCCACAGCAGGGCTGTTAGCAGGTATTTCTGAAGCAGAGTGCAAAGGGGTAATTGTTTTTAGATTTAGGTTATTTGAGGATTCGGTGTTTGTAAATTGGGGACTTGAAAAGAATCAATTTATAGAAAAAAGTAGTATTCCAGAGGAAGGATTTCTTGAGTGTTTCTCCCCAAACGCTATAACTGCAGACCTGTCAATTTTTAAATTACTCTGGTACTTAAGATACACATGTTTAGCTCTAAGACAGTAAAGAACTTGAATTTGCCCGTAGGTTAGTTGTTGTACTCTAATTGCAGGCATTAGGTGAATACCAACTGGCTCAATCACAGTGGCTCCAGAACATTTTAAGGGGCTGTGTCTGCACAGTATATGGCCTCATGTGCAAAATAGGGGATTGCTCACACAAATAGAAGCGTGCATGTGCAAATTCCTTTCTGTGTTGAGAGCTGCTATTTTGTACAAATAATTACCAGGCTGCATTCCCACTAAATATATTCTACTGCCTTAAATTGGGGTCTTAATTGTGAAAATTGATCCTTTGAAGACATGAAACTCTTTGAAGGTTTCCTTCCTGACTGCAAAATTTTATGGGTTTTGTCTATAAATTGAGTTGTGCAGGATGGCTGGGCTGATGAATTCTATAGACTGAGGTCCAGTGGTGTCACATTACCCATTTTCTACCAGAATTCCGGCTCTGGCTCAGGACCCACGGGCCATGAGGGATGATGATATTAACTCTCCAGTAAGTCAGGCCTCTGGTTTTCGACATTTTCCCCTCACTTGGATAATCTCTCACTGTCAATAATGAAGGCAGCAGAGGGATTGGAAAACATGTTTCTATCTATAAGGATAAACTATGTCAGGCAGTTATTGCCCAACAAGTATGTCCTGTTGTTATCTGGAGATGAAGGCAGTATTCAACATTAACAAATGCTTATATTTGTTACCTGTGTGAAATGCTTGAGCACTGGGAAGAAGTGGCTCTCTAAAATCCAAGGTTTACACTTGCTTTATATGTCATTTCTGAGGGAGAAAATGGCAGACAAAACTAATATTAGTCCCCAGATCTTTCCACAGCGAAGGATTAAAATTTATTTGATATATTGATGTAGAGACCATCTACAGAGACAGATTATACTGTTTTAATCTTATTTCAGAATCTTTATTGGAGTGCTTTTGTGAGTCTGTCTTCCTTCCTCCCTCCCTTCCTCCCTTCCTCTTTTTCTTTCTTTCTTTCTTTCTTTCTTTCTTTCTTTCTTTCTTTCTTTCTTTCTTCTTTCTTTCTTTCTTTCATCTTTCTTTCTTTCTTTCTTTCTTTCTTTCTTTCTTTCTTTCTTTCTTTCTTTCTTTCCTTCTTTCCTTCTTTCTTTCTCTTTCTTTCTCTTTCTTTCTCTCTCTCTCTCTAACTCTCTCCCTCCCTCCCTTCCTTTTCTTTCTCTGTCCTGCTGCTGTTGTCCTATAAGACTTAAACATAATCCTAAAAATAAATTGATGGTACTAACCTGGCTGGGAAAAATAAGAAAAAACAATGAAACACATGACTGTGTGACCAGCATGCAAGGTAGGCAGGAATACTTGTCTGTGGTTTGCACTTTACCCCAGGGCTGTTGCTATTAGCTACTCTGTAACTTAGCCTCAAACATTTCCATGCAGAGAACCTTCCTCACTGCAGTCCACTGTGGTATGGCCTGGAAGCCCACATCTGTGTCATGTTATGAAGGTGGATCACCATGCGGTTTTAAAACACTGTCTTTAATACATTTTGCGTGTGAATTGACGCAGCCCTTCTAGAGGGAAATTCAGCTGTACTCATTCAAAGACTTAAAAATGCCTCCATGACTCAGCACTTTAATTTCCTGGAATTTATCAGAAGAAAACAAAATCAGTGATGTATGTTACGATTTATGAATATAGTTGTTCTTCAAAGTATTATGTATAATTAAAATTTGAAAATTATTATGTTGCACAATGAAAGATTGATCATATAAGTTCTGTAGAATAGAATAGTATGGAGTCATTAAAGATATCAGGAAATGTTTATAATTATTTAAAAATGGAAAAAGTAGTTTTGGAATGTATGGTTCACTCTAAATTTTTTAAAATGTTTTATTTATTTCTGAGGGAGAGAAACACAGTGTGAGCAGGCGAGGGTCAGAGAGAGGGAGGCACAGAATCTGAAGCAGGCTCCAGGCTCTGAGCTTGCTGTTAGCACGGAGCCCGACACGGGGCTCGAACCCACAAACTGTGAGATCATGACCTGAGCCGAAGTTGGATGCCTAACTGACTGAGCCACCCAGGCACCCCATGTATGCTCACTTTAAAACTACTTTTTGTAAAAATAGGTGTAAATATATATATATATATACACACATATATACATATATAATATGTATTAGCATATTATATAATGTGTGTGTGTGTATGTGTACAATGTTATTCACTACTATCATCATACATTATTATCATTATTAATCCTGGACTTGTGTGTGTGTGTTTCAGTATTTTCAAAAAAACTAATAATGTTCATATATTAATAGTATATGATCAAGTAAATAATAGTTGTTCTATTTTTTCTTTTTCATATAGAATTTCCAAAGGTAGTGATGTTTTATGGATAACTTAACTGGATTTCATAATAGAAATCATACAGAATGTCTAAAGGCAGTGATGTTTTATGCCTTAGGAACAGACAAGCAATGAGTGGGCCTTCAATTAAAAAAGTCCATTATTGGGGAGCCTGGGTGCCTCAGTTGGTTAAGCGTCCAACTTTGGCTCAGGTCATGATCCCACGGTTCGTGGGTTCGAGCCCCGTAGCTAGCTCAGAGCCTGGAGCCTGTTTCAGATTCTGTGTCTCCCTCTCTCTCTGACCTTCCCCTGCTCATGCTGTCTCTCTTTCTCTCTCAGAAATAAATAAAACATTAAAAAAGTTTTTTAAAAAGTCCATTATTACTAATATACCTTTTACTTGATTTCATCTTCCTGTGTGCAGTAAAAATGGCTGCAGTTTCTTTCTGAAATCCTTGTCCTATTCCTTTCCAAACATTACTGAACTTCAATAAACAACCTCCAGCACTGCCCCCCACCCCCTCTCCCGGCTGCAGAACTTGAAATAGCCAAAGCCTCTGCACCCATTGTGAACTGACCATTTTAACCAGCAAGGGGTGTGATTTTACAAGGCTGTTTCTGTCACATTCGAAGTTGAGGAAGGATTAAAGAAATATTAAATATGAGACAAAAGATCGATGTGGTGTGGGAATTGGACCAGCAAGTTCAACTTCCAGGTTTCTGTTTTGGGCAGCTGGTGAATTGTGGTGCCATTACCCAAAATGAGGGAAAGGAAAAGGAGCAGGGATGGATAAAAGAGAACACATTCCAGATTCTGAACACTTGCAGTAAGAACAGAATGACAACGTCCCTTGCAAATAAACCTGCAGGGTTGTGATTACTGCAGACAGATACTGAAACAGTTTAATTGAGAAGTAGTTCCTGTAAATGTACTTCAAAAAAATGAAAAGGAATCCTTGATCATGACCCCTTGCCACTGCCTTTGGAAGTGCAACACCACACCCTGTCACTGATGCATCTATTGCTTGGCATGCCAGGTGTAGACCTATAGAGGTGGATCGGCCACTGCTTTCCAACCAGGGGAGCTCTCAATGTGGAAGCTGAGAAACAAATATAATACAGTGTGGCCGGTGTAATAAGTGACACATGTACTTTATACTGCCAGCTCAGAAGAAGGAATAATTATTCTCTGGGCCTTGAAGTTCTATTTAAGCTGTAAAACCAGAGTGATGCTTGATTTGGATCTCAAAGATTGAGTAGGCACGGAAATTATAAGTTCTTACAATTATGAATACTTACAAATTATAAGTGGTAACATGTGGCGATGTAGGCCCATCATTTACGGTTTTCTTAGGCCAATGTGAAGGTCAAATTGAGTTCAGTCAAATGAATCGCTGGAAAATGTCATTTTGAATTCCATATATATAGCCTTTTTCCCCACATGCCATCTAAGAAACATCAAAAATATTTCACAGCTGTGAGAAATGATACACCTTTAATTTCAAAGAAGCAAGACCTATACAGGCAGTAGGTTCTGTTTGTGAAGCAGAAATATCAGAATGAGAACTGATAGATGTTGGAGAAATGAACTTTCAATAATCTCACCAATGCATCGTGGGTCCCAGTTTAGATAAATGTTCCTCAACCTTATTTTCATGATCACTACCCTGCCCAGAAAACTTTTTTGATATTTTTGCTCATGGCTGCTTCTTTTCCCCATGAAATTAAAATACCATAGATATACTTTATCTGTTTATGCGCAACCACAGACCATCATAGTGTGTAAGGTTCATTTCACACTGCAAGAACCGGATTTTGCTCTGGTGGGGTTCATGGCTGATGTGTGCTTTAGGAGATGTTAGCACAAAAAGTTTTGTCTCCTAGATTACTTGCAGGCCAATGTTATTTTATGAGGGGTCTACGTTTTGCTTTGTTGTTTATATATGCCTCAGGTATGTAAATCACAGGACATTCATTGACTGACATCAAACCTTTTAATATGATCTCAACCAACCATTAAAAACAGAAGTTTTGTTCAGATATGAGACCATTCTCAATTTCTGGAGTGCAGTTCTCCAGTAAAGATCTTGACTACCTCCTATTTCTTAGATTTTCTAACAACATGTCATTTTGCTTTCACAGTATCATGGGTACTAATTTTAAAAACAGAGAACAAAAATTCTTCAAATGGACAGATCTTCTTTTTTGGGGCATAAATTTCCTCTGGCTAACCTCAACTATACAAAATTACAGCAACAAGCAGTTAAAGCAGTTTCAAAGAAGACACACACACACTCACAAACTAGAAAAGAGGCATAATTTTATTTGGCAACACAAGCTGTGGCCAAAATTGTTACGTAAAGTGTAATGCTTCAGAAAATAGCATACCCACAACTATGCATCATGGAAGCTCTTACAAAAGAAAGTAGAGATTGATTGGAGAAAGGGACAACGTCCAGGTTTGGAAAACTTAAAGAGGAAGACACTTAGAAAGGAGATGGATGGAAGACTTCAAGTGACATATTTAGGGTCTGAGGACCGAGGAGCTTTAGGTAATTCCTTAGGATACCTAGCAGACATAAGGTGCCACAATCCAAAACAGATGGAGCCCATGAGCTCCAAAAGATGAATGTCCTGGAGACTAACGCACAGACATCAGAAAAGCATGGAAGATACCAGAGAAAGACTTCCCTAGACTCCACCAGGTTAGTTTGACCCCCATGCACCAGAATTTTGTCGCATCAGGCTAAAAGATTTTACCAGTTCCATACGTCAACCACTGAAATAACGTGTTATTAAAAGCATTCATTAAAATAGGGCACCTGGGTGGCTCAGTCGGTTAAGTGTCCAACTTCAGCTCAGATCATGATCTCCCGGTTTGTAAGTTCAAGTCCCCCATCTGGTTCTGTGCTGGCAGCTCAGAGCCTGAGCTTGCTTTGGATTCTGTGTCTTCCTCTCTCTCTGCCCCACCTCTACTCACACTCGGTCTCTGTCTCTCTCAAAAATAAACAAACATTAAAAAAACTATTTTAAATATTTGAAAATAAAATTATTGCAGATATTTTCTCCTGGAGCAATAGAAATTGAAATGAAGGGTTGGGTAAGAATGTATCTATGGCACATTGCCATCCATGAGAGTGTTTACATTAAAAAAAAAACCCAAAACACGTCATTTGCGAACAGCCTGAGATGGGGTGGGGTCCACCAGCAAAGCTCCCCTCCTTGCTCTTGCTCTACTTTGGTTTTCTTTTTCAGCAGCCAGTACTTCCCCCCACCTTCTGCCTCAGGCACCTGCCCTCTTCACTCCTGGATGAGAAAATTACCATCTCAGAAATACTGAAGTTGCTGATTTATAAACTTTCTGTTTGTCTGGGGCTTGAAGTTCCCAAACCGCTAGCTCACAAGGACGACAGATGTGTACAGATAAAATGTCCCTTGGGGAAGTAATGTTGGAGAATCTAGGATAAATAAACTTAAACAGGTTTACCAACATACTAATAAGCACTTGGTTCTTCAAGAAGGATATAGAATTTATCCAGTTTCCTAACATAGATAGTTTAGAAACGCTAAAATGCAACATTGTATTTTAGCTTCACACTAACTAGAAACTGAAATTTGTCAATGTAAATTTCCTTTTGTTGTAGGGGACAGTAAACACCCTTGATGAGCAAAAATAACTCTGTGGTTTTCCTTCCCTTTCCAATCAAGATGGTTAACCCTTGTTCCAGGGTTATGTTAACCCACCTATTCTCTATCATACTAGAGTCTCTAGAGAATGTGATCAATTTAAAATCCTATAGAACATCATGCTGGTCCCTGCATACCAGGTGCCACACCTTGTGTTGTTTTGTTGTAGTAGAGAGTAACCATTTTGTAATTGTATTTATGATTGTCATAATCAAATGACTAAGTTTTGATAATCTACTGTCAATCTACAGGAAGCATTTGGTATGGTTTTGTTTTCTTTCTTTTATTAAACCAAAAAGGTGAATAAAAAGACATATAACAGAAAAAAAAATAACTCTGTAGTTGCCTGGAATCTGCATTAATATTCAACTTAAAATTTTGAAAAATTTAAAAAACTTAGCTTTCTCTTAGCTAAGTTTTTTTTAATGTTTATTTTTGAGAGAGAGAGCGAGCAAAAGAGAGCGCATGTGAGGGCACGAGTGAGTGGGGGCTGGGAGAGAAAGGGAGACACAGAATAGGAAGCAGACATCAGGCTTTGAGCTGTCAGCACAGAGCCCAACACAGGGCTTGAACTTGTGAACCCTGAGATCTTGACCTGAGCCGAAGTCAGACGCTCAACGGACTCAACCACCCACCCAGGCACCTGTCCCTTAGACTTTTAATTCAACCTACATTTCTTGATCTTCTTTCAGTATAGCTACTATTAACAATATGGAAATAAAATCACTTTTCCCTGCAATCAATGAACTGAATTTGGACTGGCAAAACACTTTAAGCCATCAATGATATTTAAAATTCAGTCACATTCCATTAAGTATTTTATCTACATTGATAAATTTAATAAGTTGATTTGTTTAAGTGATTTAAATATATGATAGGGTACACTTATAACCTTAAGTTGCAAAATCTTTCTAAACCCTTACAGTTAACATTTATATAAGTGCTTACTCTATGCCAGATACTTTTCTGAGCTATATATATATATATATATATATATATATATATATGTTAACTCATTTAATCCTCACATAAATCCCATGGAAGAGCTATTCTGATTTCTACTTTAAGTTAGAGGAAAACTGAGGTATCAAAGTAATAATAAGTAACTTGTTCAAAGTCACACAGATAATAAGTGGCAAAGCTCCAATTAATTTAAGACATTAAACTTATCAATGTAATAAATCAAATTCTCTTTTAGGCATTCTGACACCCTTGGCTAACTTAAATTCTCCAACAACTTTCACTTAAAAATTACAAAACTCATATGTCAGATTCTCTTCAATATACATACAAGTACCTTGAGTGACAAATAACAGATTATGAGGAAATTAACATAATCTTTTTCTACTAAGGATTGACTTTGATTCTTATTTCTATGTCCCCCTAGAATTTAAAAGTCTCAGATAAAGGACAGTTACCATGTCCGACACCCTGAGGTTATCAATCCACAAACCTAAAACCACAACTCAGATATTAGAACCTAGAACAGGGGGCCTGGGAGAAAAAGCTACCAGATAATTCCTCCTAGAACCACAGTTGGAATGTTGGATCATTTACTGAAGTAGTGCCCATGGGGCATTGTGGTCAACCAAAATTGTGATCTACTTCTGAAATTATAACCTACTTCTTCTAAGGTGTGTGTGTGTGTGTGTGTGTGTGTGTGGAGCACTTGATTGGATTCATGTACTTCCTTTACTGTCTTGTTGAACTCTGTACCCTTTGTATGTTTTCCTTCTAGCAACAACTCTATAGTCCTCCTAATGATAAATTATTATCAGCAGTTTGCAAATAAGGAAGCCGAGGATGTGAGAATTCAATAGCTTTCCCAGAGTCCAGCAGGGGACAGATAACAGAGCTGAGATGTGAGCCCAGGTCTTCATGAGAACCCAACACTTGCTGACTGCTTACTACCTGGTTCCTAGTCCACTTGTTGTGGTCAGTGAGGCAGAACTTCCCACTGGCCCCGAAAAAGCTCTGTAGCTTATGTTGAAGTGATGTTCTCTTAACTTCTTTTCTCTGTCTGGGCCTTTGAAAATATTCACAGTTACTGTTAGGTCATTCATTATTTCATCACTGAGTCAGAGCGCTCACTGGATTCCAGTCAGATGCTGGGCACTGCTCTGGCACCAGGGATGTTGCGAGACAAAATAATTTCTGCTGTGGGAAGGGTTAGAATTGTTTAAACAGGCCCTCGCTCCTCTGTTTGTCAGTGTTTTTTCCCCCAAGGTAACAAAAATCCAACTTAAATTAAATTTCAAGGAAATGGATTGATTTGTGTGACTAAAAACTCTGAGCAGGGAGCCAAGCCTTCAGTGTGGCTGGGTCAGAGCCCCTCAGGACGTCACAGAGTCTGTAACTCTTGCAACTACAATCTGTTTCCACACATCCCCTGTCTCCACGTCTCCATTGCTACATGATGGGCTTTCCCCTGATTTTTCCTGCTCCTGACTACTTCTTTTGTGTGGCGAATGAAAATACCTCCAAATCTCTTCATTTGCATTTTCCTTTCATCTTGTGCTTTAAGAGGAAATAAGAGCATCTCTTCCAAAGCTCTTGGAGTAGACATATTGGAAAGAAGGTTAATGGGCACAGCTTGAGCCACATGCACATCGTTGAATGAATCATGGAACCAGGAGTATGGAGAGGCTTGGGCCACTAGCCTTGGGGTGGAACCACTCCCACCTAGGTCACTGGGAACGGTGAGGGGTGATATAACTAACTAGCCAGTTGAGCAGCTGACTCTTGATTTTGGCTCAGGTCATGATTCCAGGGTCATCATGGGATCAAACCCTGTGTCAGGCTCTGTGCTAAGCATGGAGCCTGCTTAATATTCTCTCTCTCTCCCTCTACCCCTCCTCTGATTCTTGCTTAGGCTCTCTCTTTCTCTCAAAAACAAAGGAAAGTAATAAATAAAGAAATGAAATGATCACAGAAAAGACAACGACATGTCAGCACATTTGAGGACACCTGCGTCTTATAAGTATACTTAGAACTTTCACAAATCACTCAGTGTAGCTGGCAGGTGACCCTGCCCAGGGCTATGGTTAGACCAGAAAGAGAGTGATTCTGTCATCAGAGTTTCCCCCAGAGCTCATTCAATTTAGTTTACAAGGATGAATGACTCTGATAAGTATAAGTTCAAATCCTCCTGAAACATAAAGACTGTCCTGGTTTTGAATTTTGAACAATAGGAAAATGCCCAGAAGTATGTTCAGGCATCCCTTCACTTCATCTTCAATCCTTTGCCAAGTTAATGTCTATTCAGTACGAGTATAAGCTTAATTATCACTTCCTTTGATGTCCAGTCTGGATCAAAATCTGTCTGCTACATACTCTTTACTATAGTTCTCTTGCCTGGTTCTCATAGTCACTGATTATGCATTTGTGTAATACCACATGAGGCTGTAATAATAACTCATCCCATTAGACTGTAAATGCTATGTGCAACAGGTACGTCTTACAGTGCGCAGTCCAATGTTGAGCAGAGTAGGTTATCTATCAATGACTATGAATATCTGAATAATCTCAATGTTTCTAATTTATATTTAATTTTTCAGTGATATTCTAAGATTGTGCTTGGTCTCCAGTTGACTTGCTCATAATGGGCTCTCAATAGTATTTCCTGGAAGGGATTAAATGAAGAAAAATAAATCAGGGCTGTTTTCAGAATGCCTGAGCCGTGTAACTTTCTACATATAATTTGATTAAGAGATCAAAAGCACAGTAGAACTATCCAAGTAATCTCCTTTTGAATTCCTCTTTGTAGAGTCACACATTCATGACCTTTGTTCTTGTCTTTGAATCCCTCTATCAGAAAAATGCCTGTTGCTACAACCCTGGAGGGGGGAGAGACACAAGGAAGAGGGGGGGACCTCTGGGCCAAATACCCTCCTCTCATTTGCAAATACCATGATATTCTATGGCTCAGCTCTTGTCTGGAAAGATCTTCCTAGACATCTTAATTTATTAACTGTTCAGTGTTTACATGCTTGTCAGTGGAGGAGTATGAAGCACACACGTGTGCATACACACACACACACATTTCTCATTTGCTGAAGATGCTCATTTTTAGTTCCTGTGCCTAACCATAACTCTTATGATTTTATTTTGTTCTTTAACTTTCACTTTCCTCCTGAATAAACAACATGTGCAGGACTCCAGCAGTAGCTGGTTAGAGCTGCAGTGTGGCCACTAGCAGTGAGATGTCAGTGATACAAAAATATTCATGGCATTTGTAATGGTTGTACTATTCTAGAAGGGGGATCTTGAGGATGAGTTGACATAGCTCCATCAGCAAACATCCCACCGGATGTTTTCTTAAGCATTCTGAACAAAGTTCAACTGCCCTTTGGGAGAGAACACACATTTCTTCCTCATTTATAATTTTTGGAATGATACCAACCAAAAAAAATCTGAAGAGTTCATTAGAGGAAAAAATGTCCAAGTATAACAATATTTTACTTGCCTGTTATTCCATAGAATCATGTAGTTCTTTTAAAGTATCTGAGCCATCAAGTACTACCATTTCTTTATTCATTTATTTTTTTATTTCTAGGAGAGAGAGAGACAGTGTGAGCAGGGGAGGGCCAGAGAGAGAGGGAGTCACAGACTGAAACAGGCTCCAGGCTCTGAGCTGGCAGTCAGCACAGAGCCCGACGCGGGGCTCGACACGAACCGCGAGATCATGACCTAAGCGAAAGTCGGACGCTCAACCGACTACGCCACCCAGGCGCCCCAAGTGCTACCATTTCTTAAGGGAGGTAGGAAATACCAGCCCCATATTGTAGCTGCCATTGAAGAAACAGTAAGGCTTTACACTTCTGAGATTAAGAATCTTCCCGGATGTGGATGAAGGTTAACTTCTTGGAGAATGTGTTAAAATTTTCTGATCATGCAAAGGAAAAAAAAAATCAAACTCATATCAGGCTGAAGAAGGACTTTAATTCTGAACAATAACAGCAGAACTCAAAATGATCTACATAAACTTATTTCTTCAAATATACGTTGTCTTACAGAGTTTTTTTTTGTTTTTTTTTTTTAAAGATGAAGGACCTAGTGATTTAGAAAACCTGTAATATTCATGTAACCCAATTGTGGAAAATATTAATGTCTCATTTAATTACTTTTGCAAATTTATCTTACTTTTCTTTAGGCCACCAGACCAGAAGCAAAATAATTGTTTGTTGACTATAGCCCCTTCCCAGCAATATTACCAAAACCTGAGTGGTCTATGGCATTTTTCTGCAGTTTAAGTAATGTCTGGTTTTCCCCGTGTACTCAGGAATGGCTAAGGGATTTATAGATTTCAGCCTCGTATACTTGTTTGTGCTAAATGTTCTCTGTTTAGATTCCTGTCCCTGAACCAATACCATCTGAAAATACACGGATGCTTCTCTTGGGGCTGTGCTGCTGTCTGCTCCAGCAAGGACCCTGATGACACGGGGCCTCTGCTCCAACATCGCTGTGCTGAGGAGGGAGAATATGGTGGACTCTCGGGCCATTTACAAAAATTCCTAAAATGTATCATACACTGCTTACATGTACTTCAATTCAAAATAACACATATATTGCATATCAACATGAATATAATATGCCTGTATGTACAAACAATAATAATAAAATAAATGTTCATGAACCCACTAGCCAGCTTAGGAAATAGACCTGTACTAACATCTTTAAATCTCTCTGTGTGCCATGTTCCATCTCTTCCTCTCCTCCCCAATAGACTAATAACCAACAGCCTGAATTTCCATTAGTCATTCTCTTGACTTATTATTTTCTCATGTATATATGTATCCCAAAAGAATGTGGTATTTAGTTTTGCCTGCTTTGAATTTTACATACATGAAAATTATAATGTATTTTGTCTTTTGTGACTTGCTTTTCTCATTATACATATTATAGGTATATAATGTATGCATATTATATGTATATGTCTATTTTATATATTTGTATATATATTTATAGTAAATATGTATATATGCTTCATTCTTAGAGCAGTTTTATTTTATTTTTTTAAATGTTTTATTTATTTCTAGGAGGGAGAGAGAGAGAGACAGTGTGCGCAGGGGAGGGTCAGAGAGAAGAGAGGGAGTCACAGACTGAAACAGGCTCCAGGCTCTGAGCTGGCAGTCAGCAGAGTCCGATGCGGGGCTCGAACCCACGAACCGCGAGATCATGACCTAAGCGGAAAGTCAGACGCTTAACCGACTAAGCCACCCAGGTGCCCCTTCTTAGAGCAGTTTTAGATTCATAACACTATTGAGGAGAAGTTACAGAGATTTCCCATATACCTCTGCCCTGACCCATGCATACCCTCCCCCATTATCAACATCCCCGATCACTGTGGTACATTTGCTATTGATGAACCTACATTGACACATCATAATCACCTAGAGGCCATAGTTTACCTTAGGGTTCACGCTATGTGCTTTACAGACTATGGATTTGGACAAATGTATAATGACATGTATCTATCATTATAGTACTATGCAGACTATTTTCACTGCCCCAAAAAACTTGCACCCCACCTATTCCCTCCTCTCCCAACCCAAGCCCCTGACAACCACTGATCTATTTAATTTATAGTTTCACCTTTCTTTTCCTTAGTGCTGAAGAACTTAATTTGAAGAACAAATTGTCTTAATGTACCACCGCCTATCCATTTACCTACTGAAGAACATTTTGGTTGCTTCTAAGTTTTGGCAGTTGTGAATAAAGCTGCTATAAACATCTGCGTGCAGGTTTCTGTGAAACATAAATATTCAATTCCTTTGGAAAGAAATATCCAGGGGTGTGATTTCTGGGGTTCATGGCAAGAATATACGTACTTTTGTAAGAAACTGTCAAACTGTCTTCCAAAGTGGCTATGACAGTTTCCACTCCCACCAGCAATGAATGAGAGCTCCTGCTGCCGCACACCCTCATCAGTATTTGGTTTCATCAGTGGTTCAGTTTGGACATTTTAATAGCTGTCCTTATCTATTTTTGAG